GAATGGCCACGAATTTCGCCGCGCAATCTGCCGAGCGCAGCTTGAATTGCACGAATGTACCGTCCCCCCACTACCGCCATCGCTTCGAATTGGGTGCGAGATGGGCATCTGTTGGGTGCGTTATCTTCTCCCCGAACACCGTGTCGTGCTTGCCGCACCAGCCGCTTTTCGCACAAACGTTATGGAAGATCGGAAGGCGCAATCTGTGAGTTAGGAAGCCCTTCACTTGCTTGTATTTGCTGGCCACCTCCTTGAAGCCCTTTTGGGTCTTGGTCGCCGATAACAGAGAAGGAGTCATAGAAAGGAGAAGGAATTTTGGACAATCAAGTCTGATAAACATAAAAACAGAAAGAAACAGTCAAAGCCAATTGAAAAAGAAAGCCATTCGACGAAAAATATGGTGTCTTATCTTATGTGATTGCAGTTTGACTCCACAAGACAACTAAACAAGGTTTGCCGCTCGCCGCAAAGTGAACGTGAGAAATCGGGGAGAAGTTCCGCACCTACACCTGCTTGCCAAACAAAGCGTATGGCGTTGCATGGGCGTACTTCGTTCTTCGTCTTCTACTTCCTCGTTCGTCCTTCTGTCCGTTCGCCTGACATGTGCTACGTTAGACGGCACTCGCTGCCTTTATGGTCCGAAGTCGGCCTTATTCTGAAGTAATTGAAACCTCCTTCACGTAAATACTAGAAATGTGGCTGCCGGTATCGGTTTGGGTGGAAAAAGTTGTGGAAGTTGTTGCTTATTTTAGCCCTAGAAAAATATAGATCAAAATCAGGTTTGGGTCTCTGGAAGTGCCGAACATACTTGCATCAGCATAATTTCAGAGGTCCTTTTACATTCAGTACTAATCAGAATGAAATGAACGCCTCAATTTTCTCATTTCTTCCACGTTTTATCAATAATTTTTTCAAAACTCAAATATACCTTTGAAAGGCAATGTTTAATGCAACTGCCAAAATGTTAGATCATTCCTTGAAGTAGAGACTATTGTTCTAACACTGGTTCAGCAATCGGCCAATTGCTCAGTTTTCCGACAACTCCATTCCAGCAGGCAACTCTGAACTGGCTTCGTAATGGTGAAGGTACCGGCAAGATGCGCAGTGAAACGTCTTGCGAACGTACACCTCCTCATGATACCTGCAAGGGGAGATAGAGACTCTGTAAATTTCTGAAAATTTATTCAAGTACCTAGTTTCTTTTTATCTAGAATCAGAAAGGAAAGCAACATGGAACAAGCGAGTAAGATCCTATTTCAGATCGGAAATGAAGCATAACGAGCTTGGGATAATCATTACATCGCATCGGTAAAATCTGGGAAAAAAGGGGACTTTATAATAGTGATCATACTTTTCGACTGCTCGTTCTAAATGATTATACACAGCTGAGAGGATCGTAATAAAGCGTTGCACTCACTTTTATGTTGCTATGAAGCGTTCAGGGTTTATGGGTTGAACACGATAGCGTTGGTAAGAACGATTAAGTCGCAACAACTTTCGAATTTCTTTTGAGCATATAAAAACGATAGCAGGAAATGCAATTGGTGGCAAGTTCGTGGAAATATAGAAAATTGTCTCAGAAAGTAGATAGAACTCTGCATGCAAGTCAATAACGTATCGCAAGATAGCGAGCGACACTTGTGGAATCTGAACCATATTATTTGTAAATACTTCGAAATAAATACGTCATTTCACTGTAGCTGAACTTTTTTGCAGTAATATGAAGCCATTAACTCGTGGACCGCACCGTTTCATTGCTTACAGGCATGTCAAATCGACTTTTCCAGGACTCATCTCTGGATGAGAATTTCGTGAACCATTGTGACCACACAATACTCAACATTTCATCATCGATGGTAAAGAGAAAGGGAAAATCGACAAAATTCCGGTATAAAGGGCTTCGTCTTTGAATCGCCCTTTCTAACACAGAACGAGGTGATGACGACAAATGTACGTGTGGACAAGAATCCAGTTGCTGCAGATGAGGGTGTGTCGCCCGTTAGCTTGAATCAGTACACCGCACTCACAACAAAGGCGCTCCGTTCCCTAGAATGTAAGCCTCTTCAACGCTGCTAATTATGCCCTTCCTTAAGAATTGGACGACAGTAGGTGACAAGATAGATTGTCACTTATTTTCGTCAATACTCCCTTCTGGTCTTCTTTGCGCCCTTTTCTCTTTATCCTGCCATGCCCAAGCCATATCCTTTGTCATAATTTTTCAGTGGTCCCAAGTAATTCCTAGTAAGAAATTTTGATGGCCACTCCACCCTTAGACGAGATTCTGAAGTTTGATCAGGTGAAGGTGTCTATCAGGTCAACATGAGTTGTGAATCTGCGTTTTAAGGTAACGATGCTGTCTTAGATTTTCCTCGAGTTTTTGTGGTTCAATCAAAGGTTTTCAGCTAACAATACACAAGTTTAATGTAGAACTTACTGTATAAAA